AATGCCGGCCGGGGCGCGGCCCCCCCCCCCCCCCCCCCCCGATGAATGGGGGCTTTGTGAGACCGGTCGCGTGACCCCCCCGGAGAGAAGTCCCAGTCAGCTGACGCACAGCCGTGGCAGACGAGAGCCGTAACAGGGGGCTGGCGTCGGCCCCCAGAAGCCCCAGCCCAGCCGCTCGCCTCAGGCTGGGCCTGATTTAGATACATAAAAAAAAGTAAATCCCAAAGGAACGAGGCGGTCAAGCAGGACCAAATAGGTCAGAAAATAAGTCGATTTGCTTAAAGTTTTCTGTGACCAGTTTTCTTCCTGATAGCAGACGCTATCAGACACTGCTGATTTAAATCTAAAGTAAAATGGTTGTAACCATTTTCAACCAATCATGTCCTTATCGTCTTATTAAAATGTAGTAAATACGTCATTTGGACTGTCAGAACCAAATTGCAAAAACATTTAATTAAAGAAACAAACATTTTAAATATAAAGATAAAGCCACTGAGCCTATACGAAGACAAACTACCTGTAACATGACAAAACTACTCCTGCTAATCCCAGATAACTGGCGGACTGTCCAGGGTGTACCCTGCCTCTCGCCCGTTGACCACTGGGATAGGCTCCAGTTCCCCCCGCGACCCCAACAGGGAATAAGCGGTATTGGTAATGGATGGATGGATAATCCCAGATATCTGAAAAAAGCAAAAATGCACAGCAAATAAAAGCTCAGGTCTCAGGAGGTTAAACCAGAACCGGTTCGGAGGCATTTAAATGAGGGATGAACTCCACGACACTCCATTTATTCACCCTCTTCAAATATAGATCAGAGATTTTCTTCTTTTCTTTTTCTTTTAAAATGAAGGATATGAATATTCTCCATTAGTACATTTCAACCATTTTTCAACAGTGGCACCAGAATTTTTTTTTTTTTCCCTTTTGAAAAAAAAAAGTATACTATAACACCCAATGCAGAGGTGAGTTGGCATACAGTAACGTGTGTCAGAGCTTCTGCGTCTGAACTGTTTCCTATTTTATTTTTAATAACCCTTAGCTTTAGCTCGTCCCATTTAGCCCGCATTAGCTTCAGGGATTTCCAGCTTCCTGTCCCCGAAATGCTCCATCTGAAAGCCTTTTGGGCGTGTGCTCCCAGATGCCCGGCGCGGGTCTGTCCCTGACGGCGGTGGACTCTGGGCTGCTGTCCCTCCTCCAGCCGGAGCAGCTGTCGCTCTCCCTCTTCCTGTCTTCCCCGGACGGCGAGGCCGTGGCGGGCACCGGCGTCATCCTGTCCTACGCCGGCAGTGGTGAGCGACCACGACGTGTGGAAACGCCCCCCCATCCCCGCCTCCGCCTGCCTCCCTAACGACGCCCTCTCTGTCTCAGACCCGGTCCCCGGAGCCTGCAACATGGAGTTCAACCTGGAGGTGGACCCGAACGTCTACGTCCGTTACAACCTCTACGAGACCACCATCCAGTTCGCGCCGGCCAACCTGGGCCGCCCGAGGTAACCGTCTCCCCCGGGCTCGGCCATTGGCCGCCCGAGCCGGTTTCAAACAGCCGTTCAGACCACCCATAGTGGTGTCCCACTATGGGCGGACGCCATAGCTCTATGGGAATCTATAGTCTATAGCTCTATGGGAATCTATAGTCTATAGCTCTATGCAAATCTATAGTCTATAGCTCTATGCGAATCTATAGTCTATAGCTCTATGGAAATCTATAGTCTATAGCTCTATGGGAATCTATAGTCTATAGCTCTATGGGAATCTATAGTCTATATCTCTATGGGAGTCTATAGCTCTATGGGAATCTATAGTCTATAGCTCTATGGAAATCTATAGTCTATAGCTCGATGGGAATATATAGTCTACAGCTCTATGGGAATCTATAGTCTATAGCTCTATGCGAATCTATAGTCTATAGCTCTATGGGAATCTATAGTCTATAGCTCTATGGGAATCTATAGTCTATAGCTCTATGGAAATCTATAGTCTATAGCTCTATGGGAATCTATAGTCTATAGCTCTATGGAAATCTATAGTCTATAGCTCTATGGAAATCTATAGTCTATAGCTCTATGGAAATCATGGTTTTTCATTTGACAAAATGCCCTTAAAAGGTTGTTTTGCAGTATTATATAAAAACAAAACAAACCCATCAGGTTGACTTTATTACCGTGACTTTATTTAGTCATTTTAACCAGGGTGGATGAAGGCTCTCATTTCTTAAGGTGATTGAAGCCTTCCTTCTCTCCAGTTCGGATCTGCGTCATATCTGTCTCCAGACGTATTCCCACAGCTCGGGTGATGTCTGGCTAGCGGGTGACTCTAGCTAGCCCCCTTTTCTAGACCGCAGGCTTCTTGCCATCACCTTTACAATTTGGATATGGCCGCAGGACCCAAAGCGAGCGTAGTCCTCCGCGTGGTGCGGGGTCGAAACGAGCCCGTCAGGATAGAATTTATCGTCCCGGCAATTAGTTTGAACCGGCTCTGGGTCGCCGCCCGTTTCCCTGGTTACAGAGCGCCAATAAACTGAACAGAAGTGTCCCTCCTCTCCGCCAGAGGCCAGGCCCCTCCCCCCTGCGACGAGCTGACCGGAGGGGACACCCGCTGGCGCCTGCAGTACGACGTCTACCAGTACTTCCTGCCGGAGAGCGACCTATCGGAGCGCAGCCTGTTCGCCGGCTTCCAGGCCGTGAGCAGCAGCCAGGGCCGACGGGTAAACGCCGCCGGCCTAAACGCCGCCGGACAATCGGGAGCAAACCGCCCGCTAGCGGTTAACCCCCCCCCGCCTCCCTCCCTCCAGGTCCTGACCCTGCTGTCCACGGACAGAAGCACGGCGGCGTTCACCTCCATCCCCGGCCAAGGCGTCATCTACTCGGTGGTGGTGCGGGACCCGGTGCAGAACACCTCAGCGTCCTACGTCCCCGCGCACACCTACGCCTGCAGCTTCGCCTCCGCCCTGGACGGCTGCCAGACCCTGGGTGAGCTCCTCAGACCTCCTCCAGACCGGCGGATCAGGGAACGCCACAAACGAAAATGAAAAAATAATATAAAAATGTCTTTCTGTGGATTTATTACAGGAAGGATATCCACCAAAGTCTTCTTCACCATCACCGGCCTGGCCGGCCTGTTTGTCTGCTTCTTCGGCCACCGGTTCTTCAAATGTGGTGAGTAGGCTCATCCTGATCCGATATTTGGACCGGATAGGCCTCCGATATTTGCAAAAAAATGTGTATCGGCCGGCAGGAGAAAATGCCGATCCAGTTATTATTATTTTTTTTTAAGTCCGATCCCACACGAGCATTAGCATCTCCTAACAGGTCTGTGTCCTAACCATTAAGTTGTTAGCAGAGTAAATCCCCTTTAAACATGAAGTTAGTTGGCTAAATAACTTTAAACTTTAATACATGCTCTGATAGGCCGGGATCGAAAGTACAAATACAATATCGGTATCGGATCGGTTGAGCAAAAAAGCGTTTTCCAAAGCTCTCTAAAACCGTCTCCTCTCCCGTCTCCCAGAGCTCTTCTGCATGGGATTCAGCTTCATGGCGTTTTTCTTCTTCGTCCTCATCACGCGGACCACAGAGCTGGACTACAACAGTAAGGCCTAGTTTTCCGTCTCCGTGTTGTTGAGGCAGACTCAACACTGATTCCCGTGTGTGTGTGTGTGTGCGTGTGTGTGTCTCCCCTCAGTCCGGCTGGCGCTGTCGGCGGTGGTGGGCGTGGTGGGCGGCGTGCTGCTGGTGATGAGCTGGTGGCGCTTCGGCTCGGTCATGGCGTGCATCGTGGTGGTCGGCCTCACGCTGGGCTTCCTGGTGGCCTCCACCGTGCTCTTCACTCCGCTGGGTGAGGATTCACGGCCCAGAACCCCCCCCTTCCCCCCTCAGGCCCGCGTCACAGCGGCTCCGTTGTGTTTCCCGGCGCCCCGCAGGTGACCTGGAGGTGTTCCGGAGCTCGGACGTGGTTTTCTGGGTGACGTTCAGCTGCATCATGATCACCGTTCCGCTGTTCTTTGTGCGGTGGCCGCGAGAGGTAGGGGCTTTAACCCCATTAGCCCACAACTGGGTGTGTGTGTGTGTGTGTTTGATGGGCTTCGCTTTGGCACCATCTAGTGGTGAAAAGCAGAAAAAGCGGTTCAGTTGAGTTTATGTAGAAACATTCAAGCTCCTTACGACTCTTCTGAACTTCAAAGCTCCGTAGAGAAAAGCTCACACGAACAAAAGTGGAGCAGAGAAAACGTAAAGTTTCTGTTTCAGTGGCCAAATATCAGCTCCAATATGGCTCCAGCCAGATGCAGCAGCTTGTCAACGGGAAAGCTTCTAAATCCAAGAAGAGCTTAGGGGCAGAACACAATGAACCAAAAAGAGGGAGGGAATTTAAACCGTGTCAGTCTTTGATCATCAGGGGAAATTTGTGAGACGGCTCCCCACATGTTGTCAGTTGATTTATATTTTATGAATCATTTTGCAGCAACATGACTTCCTTCGGTAATTATTATGACATTTTAGCACAATTTCTTGGCAGTTTATTTTTCTTTGCGAATCGTTAAACCTCTGTCCGTTTTTTCCTGAGAGACTGTCTCTTTTTATATTTAGTCACGTCACTGACATAAATAAACCACTTCAAGGTTATTGGTTTTACACAAATGAATAATATTGGTGAAATTATTCTGGTTTCGAGTTAGTTTCTCAAAACCTTTAGAGTATTCCTTTGAAGAGAAATTAGCCAAAGGGTCCAGAGACAATCTGATGAGAGTAAGTTTTCTTAATAGTTTCTGAAGGAGTTTGGGATAAAAAAAAAAATGTAAAAAGCTGCCCTTAGGAGTGAGTGTGAGTGGTTGTTGGTCCTTGTGTGTCTCTGTGTGTCCCTGTGATGGACTGGAGGACCGTCCAGGGTGTACCCCGCCTCTCGCCCACTGGGATAGGCTCCAGTTCTCCCTGAGACCCCATTAGGGAATAAGCAGTCACAGTAATGGATGGATTGGGTCCAGCTCAGAGTGTGTGTCTGAGTGTGTGTGTGTGTGTGTGTTTTTTAGGGGAACATCACCACCTGCGGGGTGGTGGGCGCCTACGCCGTGGTCCTGGCCGTCAACGCCTACGCCTACACCAGCCTGTCCTACATCGCCCTGAACGTCCTCAAGCGCTTCATCAACAACAACTTCAGCGCCGCCTTCACCGACGTGCCGCTGCAGGCCATCGGTGAGTCCCGAAACCAGACCGCCATTCCAGCCCCCCGCCCTCCCTTAACGCTCCGTCTCCACCCCTCCGCCCAGACTACGCCATGATCTCGGCGTGGGTGGTGCTGGGCGCCGGGGGCGTGGTCCTGCAGCTGTACCGGGAGCGCTCGCGGCCGTTCTTCCCCCCGAGCCCGTACCTGATGTGGCTGCAGGAGCGCGAGCGCCGCAAGACCAACGTGCTGGACCCGAGCCACCACTTCCCCTCGCTCCCCGGGCGCCTCCTGGAGCGGGCGCGGCAGCTGGCCCGGCGCCGGGAGCCGGCGGGCGAGCACACGCCGCTGCTCCTGTGAGCGAGCACACCACACACACACACACACACACACACACACACACACACACATGCCTGCACACGGGCCGGTGGAAGGCTGACGATCTACATTGGAAACGCATTAAAATGCCAACTAACGGCCTTCCTAAAGACTCGAATGACATTTTTAGTGACCGAAGGAAGTCTTTTAAGCGACTTCCGGCCGCTTCCGCTCATGTTGCTGTTTGCACTAAAATCACCGACCACTACCTATTTAAGCCCCCCCTTCCCTTGACGTTTGGAATCTTCCCGCCATCGCTGTTTTGAGGGTGTCCAAAGAAATAATCTAAGTCTGTCCGATGAGCTTTTTTTTGGGGGGGGACTGACATCCTGATTTCACACATGGATTTTTAAAAGAACATCTTATAGTCAAAGTCAGACTGAGTTCATGTTTGGAGGTCCTGTTTTAAAAACGTGTTTCCAGTCTAAATGCGAGGTGCTGACCATTCAGACGCTGGTGTGAAACGGCGTTCCTCAGGGTTTCACACGCAGCTTTTTGACCACTGAAGACTTTGAATTTTAATGATTTTTTGTTTTTTTCGTAATCCAGATACGGCTGGCTGAGAAATCTAAAAAACAATTTACAACGTTTTTGTTTGTAACTGAATGTCTTTTTGATATTTAATAAAACTGCTGTCTGTGTGTCCACTGTGAACTGAAGCTGCCCACTGGTCATTAAAGGTCATTTCTTAACTACTGAGAGTCCAGCAGAGACTCCTACAGAGAGGAGGATTATTCACAATCGGGAAAACATTCCGGGCAGCTCTCCGTCGTCCCCGGAGTGGACATCCCAGCACGGTCACCCAAAGGTCAGACACCCAGAGAGCCACATCTGAGTCTACAGTCGGTGTGTTAAAGGCCATGACGGCACAGTTGGAAAAGGCCTGATCAGGAATGCCTTGTTTGTGTGGGCTGCAGGAGGGAGCCTGTTCTCTGCACAAAAAATAAATAAATAAATGGGGAAAAAAAACAAATAAAAACGCACTAGCTCTACTAAGGTTTGCAAAGCTTCATCTGAAAAACCTCCAGAACTCTTTGTCCCACAGTGCAGACCAAAGTGGAGATTATTGGTCAGAATGCACAGAAACCGAGCGGCACGTCGGCCCCCAAACGCCTCACAGCAGCCGTCGGCACGGCAGAGGAGGGATAATGATATGTGGTCGATCTGCTGCAGTGGGGGAAAAAAAAGTCATGACTCTTTTTGCTTCCATATAGCAGCGAGTCTTGAGGTGTGTTTTGAGTCATATTTTTCTAAATCTATTGGGCTGATGATCTCAAGTGGATAAAAAAAGAAAATGTTTCAACAATAACGTACATCCACATTTTTGTTCATTAGCAAAACAGTCCTTAAACAGATCTTTCCACTGTTGCTATTCCACCAAAAGAAGAAGACACCCCTCCCTGAACAAGGTTAGCAAGAAAAGATTTATTTTTACCCCCCATGTAATTAATCTTACTGATGAATCACTGTTGATGAATGCCATCTGAGGGATAAAAGGCCCCTGATGTTCCCTTTTCTACACTCAAGACACTCACAATTCCTCCAGATTTATTTAATCATTGCATTATATTCTGCACATTAGGGGGAGAAACATGCAACTTCTTCACAAGCTATTAACTTTTTAATGATCTTCTCACAAATTTGGACAAACTAGCGACATTTAGCCCATCGGATGATGGTTTTGGGCCAAATCCCTATAAGGATCATAGTCTGAACTCAACTCGTTCTAAGTTTTGCAAGATCTTTATTCTAGTTTGATGACTTGGCAATTATGACTTGGTCATAATTGTGAGTAAATGTAATTCAGAGTCTCTCTGTGTACTAAACCAAGCTCATTTATTTTGTCTTTACATTTCCCATGGTGACCAACTGAAGGAATTATTTAATCTGCCTCCTCATTTGTTTCTGCCAGGCTTTCTAAACACCTCCTCCTCCGCTCTTTTCAATAGTTCCTGGCATTACAGAGGTTTTGAAAAGCTCGGTTAGCGTTTCCCGGCAGAAACTGTTGGATCACCTCTCCAGTGGCACCACATGAGGTCAGCGTCGTACAAAAGGTCCCTCATCACACCCCACATCTGAGCCAAAATCTTTTTCTAATGATCATATCAAGGCTGAGAGTCGAGTCTGTAGCACTGAGGAATTCATCAAATGTGTAACGATAAAATAACAGAGTCGCGATTTTAAAATCCACCTGGCCATTTATTGATCAAACCGACAGAGGGACACTGGAAGAAAAGACGATCAACATTCAAACCGTGAAAGATTTCTGTAAAGTGCCATAAAGAAAAAAAATAAAAGCATATTACCCTTTCTATACAGACATACACACACAAAAAAAACACATAAAAAACTAGATTTTCCACATACAAATAAAATTAGAAACCATATT